CGTTGTATACTTGTACATTAAGTCAAGCTGAACAAAAAAGTCCTCTACCATTTTGCAAATAACAACATAGATTTTTAGATATTAATTAAAGAAAATTGGTGCATAATCATGTAACAATTTTCTTTGATATCTAAAAATCTATGTTGTCATTTGCAAAATGGTATACGGTAAAAAATGGTTTGCAATATAACGGTAGACGGCGCAATTGCAGCTCATCTACCATATCGCGCATTATCATTCACCAATCTTTTTTAATTAATATCTCGACTATTATTGCGAATATCGCAAAATGGTATAGGACTTTTGTGTTCATCTCAATCCGTTTTCCGTCCTCACGAGTTATTGTGAAGGTCTGGGACAGCCTGTATATTAGTTTTACTTTAATATAATATATATATTAATTTAATATATATACTTTAATTTAATATATATATTAGATTTACTAATATATATATTAGCAAATCTTTTAGCTATCACAACTAAATAACTTTGCTATGAAAGCAAGAAAATTTGCTCCTGCAATTAATATTTTTAATTGTCCATATATTAGCAAATCTTTTTTTTTCGTGTAGAGTAGCGTGGGGAGCAGAATCCGCTGAAATTCAACGAAGCCGATCGGTACGCACGATGCGAACTATCGAATCGTCAATGTGACTCGCGCAAGTGTGTCCCGCCAGTCAAGTAAGAGCGATCGGGCAAATGTAGTAAACTCAGCTCGAATCGAGTCATCATTTGCCATCTGACATTTTCGATGCAAAAGCCATCGGCACGAAGCCGGCAAGCATGACATTTACATAGCCGCCCGCGGCGGGGCTAATCGTGTCTGATATCATATCCGAGTTCACGGCCCGATAATTCTGGATCGCTACCTCACTTTTCAGCGTACGACTCGTGTATGACGAATTTCATCTCGAGAGTCATAGAGAGAACTCGCGTGAATGCGACTAACGTACTGCTATCAACGTACAACTCCCGAGTTTGTTTTTGAATCGGGCAAAAACTCGTCGACAACATCGCCAGGGAATCTTGCAAACAAACAGCAGATTTATCTACGCGAACGTAGTGACAACACGACCAGAGTTCGCTTTCACGACGAAATCGATCCGTCTCTCGTTAAGACTCATCAAGGCTCATTCACAATACGCGGAATAAGCTTGCTGCGAGTTGGAGCGAGAAATGAAACTCACTTATTTCGCTTAAACCCGTACTTTTAAGCAAGAGGAACGGTGTAAGGAGGTTGAAGTATAGGCGTGAGAGCGAAATAGATTATTTTGATTTCTTATCGCAACTCTCTTTTACGCCAGGCTCGCTTCGCGTATTGTAGACGAGTCTTTAGTCGAACACCAAGTTCAAGCTCATCTAATCGGATCTCTTGGTGAAACGATGACGACACGTTTTGGCTCCTTCAATTATCGAATTGTCCGCGGAAAGTCCAATTAGCATTGGAAGTTTTAAACGCGATGATCGATCTGCACCGTCATTTGGCCCTCGATGACATGAGTCAGCGCGCTGAGTATTATCAAAACAAATATTTCTTCGAATGACAACCAAAATAAATCTGATGGAATTTTTATATGCGCGACATAATTAATTCTCTGTCTTGCGTAACTCTACTTTCTTAAAATGAATCAGTGAAACCACTGAAAACAGTGAACATACACTGATTTGCAGTTATAAGCGTTGCACTGAAACTGCTCAGTGCTATATTTATAACTGATATCAGTGACTATTTACTTTAAGAGAGTATATGAAGAGAACATATAGTAGTTTTTTCTTCTTTTTCATACAGTCTCTTTTTACAATTTTACTGCGTTTCGGATAGTTTAGGATAGAATAGACTCACTGAGAGAAACAATGTATGTTTGTTAAAGTAATAGATGATTTGATGATCTGCAACATTATCTGTTCGATTTATTTACCTAATGACCGTTGAACACACTTTCGTTCTAACAACCGAAGTGTATTTAAAAACGTGAAAAGGCTCTTTGATATACAATCTAAAAATTGTTCGCAAAATTTCGAAAAACTATGAGAAAATAAAACGTTTGCACTTAATATACGATGATAAAATAAATTATATACTTATGATTGCACACATCCTCCTAGCGCATCATCCTTAGCTCTCATAGGCCCTCGCTTCTTTAAAATTTTTGCGAGATATTTTTCTTTCAATGCTGTCATAAGATTTGTCTTGCCAAGGAACATAATAAATCTTACTAAAAATAGCAAATTTTTTCTTAATAGAATTTTAATTCTCTTCTAAAATATCAATAGCACGCTTAAAATATATGAAAATGTCAAGTGACTACAGAATGTCGATCTATTCTCCGACTAAAAGATTTTACAGTAATTTTTAATTAAAAATTACTACATGTACTTCGATCAACGATATGCGGAGTCAAGAGACCTATCTGATTACGCAAACACTTCACAGTCATAGTTTACTTAAAGAGATACAAATCGACAATCCAAATAATGAAAATATAAATGTGCAAAATATACGCCTCCGTTCCTCATTCACCCTCAAATTACCACTTTGACTTGAATCGCACATTGGAATCTTTTTTTTGGGCGACGGTAAAAAGTGTCCGAGATGTATTCTCCGCTATCCCGGCCGCGATATTTGCCTTACGAACGATCGACGTTTATACCTCTGCGCGATGGCCGCGTCGTCGCCATATAAGAGAGAAACGAGCGGAATGATCGACGGCGAGATATACGGCGGAATAAACGTCTGACACACGTAAGAGTGGCCGAAAGTAGCCGTGAGAAAGAGAGAGAGAGACCGTTTTTTAAATGATCGTCGATCGTTTTAAATGCGCCTAAATTAACTCGCGCAATGAGATGCCCGTCGTGAGTCCCGCATACAGTAACAAAAAGTAACGCGAAGCCCATAGGCGCCGTTCTCGCGAGTTGCCGGCGCGTACTGTTACTACGACTGTGGCGGCGCGCGCAATTACTTTGATTGGCGGCCAATTACTCCGACGTGGCTAGTTTGCTTTAACGAAAATAAATAATTATCAAAATGAAGCTCTCGCTGGACGCGCCGTTCGTTATTACTCGCGGATCGCGCGTATGCAACGCTGCTAAATCATCTTGGATTTGTTAATTATTAGCGCTGTCCTTTCTAGTTAGGCCTCGAGTCGAAAGATCAGACATCGAAAGCGAATTCCGAACTGGACGGAGCGTAACATGTGAGAGGCGTCGCGCTGGCCACGCGATGATAAATTATTCGAGATCGTTCATGTCGGCCAGCTAGCGAGGATGGAAACGTGAAAATTGCGGATGTTTACATAGCCCGTGGACTTGACTGTTCGGGGACGCGTGATTAGTTAACGCAAGTATCTCGTTTGTGTCGTAAGTTATGGGAGAAAAAAAAGAGGAAGAAAGCGGTGGAGTCAACGAGGCCTCGTTCGGAAGGAAATTCGCTCGAGCGGACATCGGGCCGCGAGCATAATAATATAATTACTGCGAGTTATTGGTCGAATCAATGATTACGACGCGATTCAGCGACTGCACAATGGCTTGTGTTAACAGTCATTACTTGAAACTTGTCCCACGTGAAATACTCAATTAGAGTCACATTTGATTTTCCTACTTGTGAATCAAACACGGAAAAAAATAATTTGCTGACCCAGCAAATTTTCTGCTGGTTTAGCAAAATCTTTTCGTTATTATATGGACAGCAAAAAGATTTGCTAATCACTATTTGCTGGATACAATTTGCTGAATCTACAAATTATTTTGCTATAAGAACCATGATGAATTTATATAAGCAGTTGCAGTTTTGCTCCGATAGCAAAATTTGCTAAGGATATATTATTTTGCATCAATAGCAAATTAACGTGATTCTTAGAGCAAATACACTCAACAAATTTTTTCTATCCTGGTAACGAAACTACTTCTGCTCTGATAACGAATAATTTGTAAAATTATATTGTTACATTAAGTAAATTTTTTTTATGTCACTACGAATATGCAGTAGCAACGGCGATTTTACTAAAAGAGCAAAATTATTTTCCTCCGTGCACGTAACACGCGAGACATTATACTTGCAGCCGCGATTCAGCTAAAAGGCTTACTCCAAATTCAAATCTGAGTGTCTCACCCGAGGCATAAAGTTACAGAAGTGACACAACTGATACGACCGAATGTGTCGTTGTGCCAACACGTAACCCGATCAACGGATACACTGTTTGTTTGGATAAGATTGGCCGGTGGATTTTGTTGATCCGACCGCTTCCCCCTTTTTATCTCAACATGTAAACGAAACCGTGTCCTTTTCCCGTGTCAATATTTACGCTCGCATCACGCAGAAAGAGCAAGAAAAGTCGAATTTTTAGGTGAGAGACCAAATTACACCGCACGTATATTTCGAGTGGGAACTGCGGTTGAAAGAGACCTGCTCGTTTAAATTCGACGACTCGAAGTCGCGAGAGATCTCGAGCGATGAAAAAAACGCATCTATCGCACGAGCCTGTGACGCATCGTTGCGAGACGGCGGTGTTAAATGAATGAAAAAAGGAGAAAAATCAGTGTGCGTTCACTCGCGAGAGCGGAACGCGCGAGTCGATTCTCCGGTGTCTTCAGACACACGTGTGGCTGCTTGTTATAGCGGTAGAACGGGCCTTCCTTACACGAATGGCCGATACGCACTTACTGTTATCGGCGAGCATGCAGCGCGAATGATACGGCGAAGTAGCCGTGAATTTTAGGGAAAAGCGTCGCCAGTGGCCGGCACTCTTACTCGGATTTCATCAAATATTAATGTATGTATCTATTATGTATACATATGATTGTATTCCATCAAATATCAGGGTATGGGGATTTATTAATTATCTATCATTTATTTATCAATTGTTATTTATTATTGGCTTATTCGTTTTCCTTCAAAAAGACCCCGTAAATCTTGATATTTGATAATATCCGCGAAAGAGTGCCGGCCACTGGACGTTTCCCCTATTATTAATTTGCTTATTATTATTATTAATTGAACTCACCTCAAAGCACGCTGCGTGGTCTTCATCTTTGGCGACCTCTGAATCCGAGCTGCCACCTGCGCCGTCCGTCGCTCCGAACGGTGAATCTGTCTGCCACTACTTCCTCCTCCTCCTCCTCCTCCTCCTCCAACGATGGGATGCACCGTTCGCCTTCGGAAACACCACTAATAATTGCACACGCGTATCGCGAACACATACACTTTGTCCGACAACACTAGCCACGAGGATCGGCGATATCCTCGCAGCAGGTATTCCTTCGAACGGGTCTCGAAGTAACGAGATAACCTGGCGGTCGACGATCGACGCCTTCACCGCGGAGCGTCGTGCAAAAGAGCGCGGTGAATTAGATCAGTGGGACTCGCGGACGACCGAGAAACTTAGGTCGCGAGCGGCGAAAGGCCTCGCGCCTCTCTTTCTCCTTCTGCCTGTGTCTCTGTGTGTGTGTACATATATATATATATATATATATATATATATATATATATA